CTTAACTGGAAGGTTATCTTGTTTTCTCCTATCTGTTCTCTTTTGTTCACTCTTGTGTAAGAAAGATCTTCATGAATGTTCTTTGGCACTGAAAAGAAAAATAGCAATGTTTTTCCTCTGAATGAGTCTTGACAGTGAACTGCATAAATGGTCTCTCTGGCAAATGCTATGGATGTGAACTAAATCACCCAGATTTAAATTCTAGCAAGGACTTCAGAAAGGAAACTGGTACTCTCACTAGAACATTTAGACCCACTTACAGACTAAAGGGCAGGAAAAAGGAATGTCTCGTCCCACTTCTTTAGTGTTACCCAAACACCTCTGAATCCTTCACCTTTCACTCAGAAGTTGTAATTTTTTTTTTAATCTCATAGGACTGTTTGACAGGCATCTTTGAAATGCAGTACATTTTCATATATTAATTACCCAAGTTTAAAAGGTGCGTAACTTCAGTACCAAAAGTAATTTAGAATTAATGTGGTACCAGATTTTCTGTTGTTTCATAATATGCAGTTCATCTCCCACAAACTTTAAATGTTTCCATGTTACACTTCTAAACAGGAGGAACAACAGAGATAAGGCACAAGGGCATGAAAAATCAGATTTGTTTCCAATCTCTCTGTAACGAAATCGATGATGTCCTGTGTTGCATTTCCATTATATTGTCCTATTGACACTCTTACTTGCAGTCTTAGTGGGAAAGCAACTAGTTGACAGTTGTCATTGAGGAGACCTGTAGCTACCTATAAGGGAATCACAGACCTTTTATGTAAGCATACATCCAGATTTTTAACATGTCTACAGTAGGTTGGTAGTAGGTAGGTATTGGGCAGTCCCTACCAGAGACTGACATTCCAGTATGCAAGACTAAAAGATAATGTGATCTTTATGCTTCCACATTTTCAATGTTCTCCAAAGATACTGGAATCTGTATCTGTTCTGGGAATCATGAATGTATCTTGTTTAACTCCCACTGTCTACCCCATGCACTGAATAACAAATTCAGTAACTGAACTTGGCACTATGAATTTCTTTTCTTGAGCCAGGTACTTGAAGGCTGGGTGCAAGAGTGCTGGACATCTCAGCACCAAAGTTCCCTATGTGCAACTAATTTTAACTCATTAAATACCACTTTACTTTTCCTGGAATTATCTCATGCTTCTTAACTTCTTTTTTTTTACCTAAAAATGCAAAGTCTTTTGAGGCTTTGAGGGTATTTTACATAAAATGCTGATCAGTTTTCTGTTTATTCCTCATACTCTAGCAGTTACTGATTTTGATTATTACTACTGACAATAAGTCTTTTGGTTTAATTATATGCATTTGTGGCCAGCTCAAAGAAGCATAAATAAGTTTAAAAATAGGTTATGGTTGCCTGTGATAGACCATACCAGTTTTATTTCTGTGTCTTCTGTCTGTACACTAGTATTCCTTTAAAAAAGCTGTAAGATAGGACACCTGGGGGAGGGTTTGTGTGTTGCTTTACCGTCGAGTAACTGTGCATACTCAGAAAGTAAGAATGGTGTGGCAGCAAGAAATGAGTGGAAGCCTGTAGTCAGGAAGAAAGCAAGCTAAAAGAAACAGCAGAAGGACCTCAGAGGTTAAATGGATAAAAATCCTATGAACTAGAAGGAATTATATAGAGTTTATTGCAACTCACAAAGACACCCAGCTGGCTGACATTACTCTGCCAGCATGCAGGTAGCAAAGCCTTTGTTCCTAAAGCCTTTATTTACCAATATTTTATCTCATCTACCTTCTTGAAATTTATTTTAAAGCTTTCTATTCTATGTTTTAATATAAGCAGGTTGTTTTGAGTATAAAACCCTTCTGGTCATTGAGCTCACTGGAAAGAAAAGATCTAAGCAGATGCATCCCAAATCTCTGGAAGTTTAGGGTTTCATGATAGTGATATTATCCTAACTTTGTGTTTCTTAATCTTGAAAGCAGCACATCTGGTACTCTGACATTGCAGAAGGCATTGCTGATAAATCTGTGCTCTCTGATAATAGATAATGAATGTTAGATGTCAGGTAGAGAAACATGATTGTGTGTACTTGTGGAGGAGCCACTGATTCTGTTTTCTCTCAAGCTCTCTTTGCTTCTAGTAATGGTTAGAATGACTATGAGGAGCAGAAGAAAGCAATAACTGATGGGATGAGGCACAAATCTGACAGAAGTAACAAAGGGAAAGGAACAATTTCCTTTTTGTAGTTCCCACAAACGGATACTCACCAGCTGAATCCATCCAGTTTAATGGTAATAGGTTTATGAATGTCAGTGTAATTATTCAAGTCTTTGTACCAAATTGCAATGAAATTCTGAAAAGTATTAAAGCAACTCATATATGACATGGAAAAGATGGGACAAACTGTGGATTTATTTGCAAACAAATGTGCTGCAAAACATCTTCTGTAATAGTAAAGCATTTCTTGAGACCTTAATGCTTACTTTACAGTAATTAAATATCTTTAAAAATCACATCTTGGGATGGAACTAATGAAATCTATTTTTTCAGACTAGTGTTTTATAGGTGTTAAGCTCAAACCAAAATGTTTTCCAGATTTATTAACTCGGTGGTTTTGTAAAGGGCTGTGCCTAGTGTGAACTCTGTGCTGTGTAACAGCTGAGTTCACATTACAATGGTTCTTTCAGTAAGGATGCGTATAGAGACCATTATAGTCTCTCTTTCCTTTCTTTGCATCTTCCCTTTAGCAAAACTGTCTGAAACGGGCTAATAAGCTCTAAACTATGAGGCAGTAAGTGCAGACACGTACCTACGCATTTGCCATAATTGCATAAGCAGTTGTTGAGGCAAAAAAGAAGACAGAGAGGAAAGATGAGTATAGTAAGGCCTCAGAAGTCAGTCAAAGGAGGTTGACATAAAATAACCAGAATATGTGTACTGCGTACTGAGCTACTTCAAATTAAATATTTCACAGTATAGTTACAAAACTAGAGAGCTCCACGTGGGTTAACTACTTGAATTTACCCCAGTTCTCAAGCAGAATTTGCAGCCCAAACTTAGCTTGGTACTGTTACAGCTCTTCTGGTAGCAGTACTTAAGCCACCACTTAAAAGGTAGCTAAAGTGTACCTGCATGACTTGCAGTATTGTCTAGAATACAGCCAGACAAGGACACTTAGCCTTTAGGTGTCACTGTGCTTTTAAGAGTAGAAATCAGTTCAACCTTTTGGTTAGCTCAAAAATATTATTTTTTTTCTGAAACAAAAACTCTTATGTCGTGACATCTTAAGTTTTCAACTTCAAAGGTAAATGAAAATTATTGTTAAGCATCAAAGTTTGTAAAGCTATGAAAAGAGTTTTCTTTATGGAAACCTACAAATGCAGAGAATCTGAGCTGAATGTTAGACTAGTTGTACATGACTGCCTGTAGTTGCACTTGAATTAAAGAATGGATCCAGGGAGAAATTGATATATGTGTGACTACCACATGCTGTCATCTTGTCTTTCTAATACTTACATAAATAAAAAGTACTCATGCAATAATGTATCCTGAAAACACGCACAACAGACCCCTGAGAGGTGAGCTGAGGTGTACAGACACTACCAGAGAGATAGTATCAACATTTATGTGGTTCTTTATCTATGAGAGAAAAATGTATCAACTTAAAGGCATTGGAGCTTGATAAATAAGAAGCAAGCTCTCTCTGAGAAGGATTAACCACGGGAACAAGCTCCCCAGGGAAACAGTGAATTTGATGGTGTCAGGTGAAGACTGAGTGCCTTTCTTGGAAAACAGGTTGTAACTAAAAGCTAGATACTGGGGTCAATTCGAGGAGGGACAGTGGAGAACAGGGGAAATGAAATGGCTTTAAGTACACTGGAAAACAGATGAAATGACTGATCACTAGTAACCCTAAACCCCACAATTCTCCTGGTTGTTATAATCCACTAAGTATACTAATCATTTGCATTATGACTGAAACTCTCAGTATACTTTTGTTTAGGCAGACTAATAGTTTTGACAGCATTTGAATCTATTTTCAGCGATGAGATTAAATGCTCTGCACAGTCCTACCTCTTTGGCATGTTCAGGATGGTTTAAACTTGAAATGTTTGTAATCTTTGGAGTAGATGTGGCATGGGAGTGTGTTGCTCTGCATGGTCACAGCCTTCATGAGAAAGATGCAGCCCTGGGTTTGTGTGCCTGCATGCCTACAGAGAGTAAGGATTGTGAATGACCACGCATAGCAACTGCATCTCTTACGCAGCTGAGGGCAGATTCATAAGGATGTGACAAAAGATGGCTCTGCTCTTGGGCTGGCAAATGTTCAGAGTAACTCCACGAGGTACCTGGTAGATTCCATGCACTGTTTTGGGGCCCCTTTTGAGCTGCAGGACTGAGGCACGGCTTCCATCACTTCACCCTGTGGAAAGCAAGATCATAGCCTGTACGCTTCTCTCCACATTTTAGAAATAAGATCCTAGACTATCAGACTGCCCAAAGCTTACCGCAGAACTGTAATTTTCTTGTCTCCTGATCGGCTGTCCCTTTCTTCCCTCAGAAATGACATCCTCGGAAGGCACCTGCGAATCTTGATATTTCTCCTTCAGAAATCATAAAGCTTCTCGAGCAGTAGGAGCACAGGGAGAGGAAGGGATTAGGCCGCTCATAAGCAGGGAACGTGCAATGGATTCACGCGTGGATCCAGCGGTTGAAGCCACTCTTCCGACTCCTCACGGGGAAGGGCTGCCCCTGCCTGCCTAGCACCCCTCACGTCGGCCTGTGCCTGTTTGCCCTGATGGCGGTGACCGGTAATGGCGTCCCAGTAACAGCACCGCCAACCTTCAGGCCCCAGCGTCTAAGCAGCCACCCCTCCCGCGACGCAGGATGGCCCGGGCTCCTGCAGAGATAGCCAGGGCGCGGCGCAAGGAGCCGGGGGACATGGCGATCTCGCCGCCGCGGCCCGCAACACGCCCGCCTCGGCGCGGCAGGTGGCGCCAGAGCCTCGCGCGCCAGTCGCCCGCGGGGGCGCGGGAGCCATCCCGGCGCCTGCGCGCTGCTGAGGCGGTGGCAGCGGCCTGAAGAATCCCGCGGGGAGAGTGGGTGGCGGTGGTGGTTGTGGCGGTTTGGCGTGTCGCTGGGCGGCCGTGATCGCGCGCCACGATGCCTGCGGTGTCGAAGGGCGATGGGATGCGGGGCCTGGCGGTCTTCATCTCTGATATCCGTAACTGTGAGTGGCAGCCGAGGCGCGGTGGGGCTGGGGCCTGGGCCGGGCCGGCCCTTGCTGCGGGTCGTTGCCCCATTGGGCCGGGGCTTCTTTCCCTGAATCCCCTCACCAGAGCTTTTCTCTTCCCCTTATCCCTTATAGCGGGCAGCTCGGAGCGCTTTTGCCTCACGAAATGGCGACGCGCTCTGGGGTGGGGGGGGGGGAGGCGGCGCTGCGGGAGGGGGAGCAGTCTGAGGCTTTGGGCTGCGGGTTTGGGTTGATTTGTGCGTTTGGGTGGGTTGGTTGGGGTATTTTTCTCCCATCTGTCCCTGTTAGCTTCCCTCCCACGCGTCTGCGGAGGGGCGCTGGGTATTGCAGTCGCTGTCCCGGCGGAAGGGGATGCCAAGAGGCTGGCGTCCGTCGTCGTTGTTATTTATAAGGAGCTGAAGCTAAGCTGGCGTGTATTCGGGGTGCGGGAGTGTTTGTGGCGGACGAGAGAGAGGCGGCTCTGGTCTCCATCCAAGTCCGTGAACGCCTCTCAATTCGAAACGTCACTGATAGAAAGCAGGCCTCTGTAAGGGTGCCTGCGAGCAGGGCCTTCTGTGGGTATGGCTAGGCTTGGCTTAAATTGGCTTTAAAATTCTGCTTTAGCACAAATCAGCTCTTAGGATCCATGTGATTAAAAATGGAATGGAGAGGGCTGCGAGTTAGTTGTCCCCCTGAGGGAGGAGGGGGGAGCATGCCCGTGAGTGCGCAATGCAGAGAGGAGTACAGCTGCTGTTACTTGGGTTGGGAGGGAGAGAGTAGGCAAAGACGATGTATGTCTGGGGGTACATTCAGTGCTCAACTTACCTTTTTGACTGAGAATTGCATGTGATAGCAGCTTAATATTAATCTGAGTAACTGATCTAAGTGTATGATGTGGCAGGACTTGCTTGGGGAAGGGCTAAGGTCGCTGTGGTTGGTGTGATGAAACAGTTCTGTTTTGTCCACCTTTTTGTCTCTGTAGATTACCTGAGGCTACTTTAAAAACAGCAGCAGTAGTAAGGTTTCCTCACTAACCGATGAATGTGGATTTGGAGAATTTTTAAATGCAAAGTATGATGATCTAATGATGATGGCTTTTATTGAAATAACCTCACCTGCTTAGGAAAATCTTCATGTTGATGACTTTTAATATAAAAGGCTAGGGAGAAAATCATGCTGATAAAATTACTGTTAAAACACAGAGTTTACTTAAACTAAATTCAGATGATTTAGACTTCCAGCCATGTAAACAAGGGCTTTGTATGTAAAATTTAAGGTTGATCTTCCTTACAGTATAAGCTGTCTTGTTTTGTTTTCAGAATAGACCTGCAGATCCTTAGGTTTCTTCTGACTTCGTTCTTGTGTGTGTAGAAGAAGGCTTATCAAATGTGTTGTATATTAGTTCAAGGTTACATGAATGCTTTTGTGCTTTGTCTGGTTGGCCCAACAATTTTACTGGAAATTTTCCAGTGCCATGGTATTCTATGCATGTGTAACATGGCACAGAATCACAGAATAGTTTGGGTTAGAAAGTACCTTAATATCATCTAATTCCAACCCTGTGCAATGGGCCGGGATGCCTCACACAAGACCATGTCACCCAAGTCTCTGTCTAGCCTGGCATTGCATACTGCCAGGGGTGGAGCATTTATCACTTTTTTGCAACCCATTCCAGTGCCTCACCACCCTCACAGTAAAGAACTTCCTTATATCTAACCTGAACTTCCCCCTGTTTAAACCCATTGGCCATTGTCCTATCGCTACAGTCCCTGATGAAGAGTCCCTCTCTGGCATCCAAATACTTGGTGTCATAGCATCTAAGACTTGCTGTTGTATCTACCCACTATTTTTTTTAATGATTGTTTTCATTCATTTTGATAGAAGTAGTATGAGTTGTTCTTTAGTGTCTGTTGCATCTTGCAGTTGGTCAACACATTTGTCTACCCTTACTTTCACTGAAATTCAGTAGAGAAACTTCAGTAGAGAAGTTTCAGTAGGGAAACGAGAAACATTCAAGCTCTTAGGTTCCTAACCTATGTTTAGAGATGTGGAATAACAAAATTTGAGGTAGTAGGATTGGACAAATTAACTACTGATTTCCCCACAAGCTTGTCAGTGCATAGGCAGTGTGGGAACTCTCATGAAACAACCATCTCTCTGTCCAGATTGGACAACAAACCTCTCATCCTCTCAGTGTCTTCAAGTGACAGGCATGTAACTTGCATGTGAAATAAAATATTAATGTTTTCACTGTTTAAGTAAATACTGATACTTCTGAAATGTTTTGTCCCTGTCCAGACAGCTATTTGAGAGCTGTAATTGTGTATCTTCATAATGAAGAATATAACTGTATCTTGCAAATAGCTGCAAAGGAGTTAATAGTTCCCACTAATAGGTGATTTATGCAGTTTCCAACTGGCTGGCTAGTGGCATTTGAGCCTTTTTCCTTTAAGGGAGTTCCTAGTGTTGCCAGCTAACCGTGGGCTGCTTTATGCTAAGATTCCCCAAAATACTTGAGAGCACTCTCAAGAGACTGTGTTTTGCAGGCACTGATATTGGCTTCATTTTCATCTTTCTCTCACCAGAATGGGGAGCTAGATACTTGTCAAGAACAAAAAGTAATATCTATTTAGACGAATAAAGTCTTTTGAAATGTAAATCTAAGATACTGTTCTTCCTCTTCTGAGATGGGAGGGGGGGAAGCTAGACACCAAGTGCAGTGCTTAACCTCTGTTTCTGGCCTGAAAGCTGGACTAAATATCTTGACAGTTGCACTAATGTGCAAAATGCCTCCTGGCATTCTGAATTTCAGTTTTAATTTTGACTTTGTTGGACTTGTTTATCTCCTTATAATACTGATATAAGGACCTGACATTTTTAGTTTGCCTACAATTCTTCCAGATTGAGTAATGTTGAAACAGGGGTGTGTGTGGTTTCTGAAAGACCTGAGGAGCAATTTCCCCCTAACCCCCCCCCCCCCCCCCCGCTATACTTAGGGGATTGCTGAAAAAATAAAATGCAGTTGTGTGCCAGCTGTGCCTAGGTGAATGCAGTAATAAGATAAAAGGATATAAATATGTAAATTTAGAACGTCTACCTTTGGAAATGCTTAATCTTCTTACACAAAATCTTCTTTCTTGGGCATTTGTACCTACAAGGTCTGCAGCACTAAATAATGTGTTCTTCCCTTTTGAGTTTAATTATATTACTGGTTTGGGAGTGATGCTGGTCTTGCCTGGTTTTACTAGTCTTTTACAGGCTTCAGAAAAGTCTGATAAAGTGCTAGCAGTTTTCAATGCTTAAAACTCTAGTTGTTTGTGGGTGAACAAACAGCTTGCACTACCGGTCTGCCTTTAGTAGCTAAAAGGTTGATTTTTGACTTCTGTGTTGGTTAGCCATGGTTTTGGCACTTTGGTTGTCTATTAAGCTTCTTGATCTGAAGCTTCTGTGTCACATGGTGTTGAATGTAAGAATTGCTTTCTATGTGACTTTAAAAAAATGCTTAAAATATACTGATTTCTTGAAAGTCTGTAAAGCTATTAAAAAAAGTTTGCATACTACTTGTAGCAGCAGTGTAAACTATTTTAAAGGCCAAAAGTGCTGCTTAGTGCTTTGACTTTTCTCTGGTGTCTGTGAAACTGTACCACTGAGTCTGTTTTTCAAAGGAAAATGTTCTTTATCCATCTAAATACCAACCGAATTTTCAAACTCAGATATTATAAGAAAGTTAATCATCCTGCAGTTCTGATATCTCTCCACAGTTTTGTTTCAGGGCAGCTTCTTGTTGCAGGCTCTGTATTTTGTACATAGAGATCCTGGTGCAGAAGGCAGAAAGAGTTAAAAAAAAAAAAAAAACAACAAACACAAACTCATTTAGGTGCCTGACAACCTGCCAGTAGATGTATGAGCTCTTCTAGAAACTTGCATAATTGGATTGTTTTAACCATATATGAAATAGTACTTTCATAGACATCAGAGAAGAGACAAGAAAACTGTAGATTGGAAGCTGAAGTACTTGGCTAAGATAGTCCAGTTAATTAGCACTTTGGTTAATGAGGCCCACTGAGAAAACAGCAAGGTGTGGCTATGCTGTAAAAGAGATTTGGTGATAGTGGAGCCGGAAAGCTCTGAATCCTGTGGCTTGGTGAAGGGCCATCCAGACCTGGGAGTTCAGGTGAGGAAGAGTCCTTGTCACTGCTTGGGTGAAGTACCTCATGAACTAAGACCCAACAAGATTTGCCTGTATTACAAGCATATGGAATCCTACAAGGAACACTTATTCTATATTGAGTATGCTAAGTCTTTTTTGTGTGTATATGTACTGCAGAGCTGCTGAAGTGATTTGGCTTATGCAAGATGGTACTTTATAAACTCTCCAGCTGTCTTAGCTGACAGATACATCATCAGGAGTCTTTGAGTCTTTTGTCTTTTTTTTTTTTTTTTTTTTTTGAGAATAGCTTTATTCTTATCTGGTGATAAAGTACTTTAAAGGCATTTGTCACTCAACCTATTTTGTTGCAACAACATTATTATCTGCTATTCACCCTGAAAACTAAAAGAGCTTACTTTTTTCCTTTCTTTTGGATGTGGTAGTATAGAAATAGTTTCTATTACAATATATTAAGTGTACTGCTGGTAACCCCTTCCTCCACTGTAAAATCAGGAAGTTATCTACTCTTGGGTTGATGGAATGGATCTGCACAGAGGCAAAAGCTGCTTTTGCCACAGGCTTTAAGGACAAGACAGTTGTTAATTTCCCTCACTAATTTAGGTAACTGCCTTATGTTTTCAATGTCATCTTAGAAGTTGGACAGGAGGAGGAATGACTCCTTCATTCTCCAAATGTTTCTTTGTATGTTCTCCTCGGGCTATTTTTTTTTCTTTAAATAAACCCCAACAGATACAATAAATAAAGGTCTATATCTTCTCTTTGAACTTAATGCATTAATAATTCTTTGCACTGAACAGGGAGGATGTCCAGTTGCTGAAGGCTCGTG